CCGCTTGCAGGTAACAAGGGCCAGCATGCAGTAGATGTCCGATGAGCACTGGTGCATAAATAATCCGGCTACAGTGACTGATCACGGAGGGGTCAGCATCACGAGTCTGGGTGGGTCTGCACACACACGCCCAGAGGGCCGCATCGGAGCCGTCTCCCTGACGACTGCTTCAGGAGGCCGGCCACAAAGATGATGGCTTCTGGCATCTTTTATGGAGACAGGCCAGCACTACAGTAACTTGATGAGACACACTCCTGTCACACCTAATAAATATGCCAGCCTGTCATCCTCCTCCCTTGCAAAAAAGGGAATCATTTGGAAGTGAACTTAGAAGAACTCTAAATCACAGAAGCTCAAAATCTCAATTCCAGACATGTTAAAGAAAAAAGGGGAAAGGCCCCAGCCAGCCCTTCTGGCAATTTAAATGTCATCTGACTTTAATGATTAAGTTTCTTATCATGGAGCAGCAGCCAGAGGCCTCGGGCTCGAGCTGGTTTCAAGGTGCTCTGAGGGACCCCAGGTCTTGTGCCTCCTCCATGACCCCGTTAATCACAGACTTAGTGTTGTTGGCCTTGTCCTTCCAAACGTCTACCGCTCTAGGGACTCGTCTGGCAAAATGCTCGCAGGTACATAGGCAGCTCTGAGTTCTTTCTCTATATTCCCCCAAACTCCTGTGACATGACAGATTTCATTCTCTCCACTTAAAGAGAGACACATGGCCTCATGCACTTCCATTTTTCCTCCTCTCCCACATTTCCCTGGACTCAGCTCTTTGGCTTAAAAACCAGGCCTGTTCATTCTACAGACCCCTTTTCCCTCGGCCTCTCTGTCCCTATCATTTGTAAATTAATTTTTCCAGAGCCTCAAGCCAAGATTTTACCCATTTTCCTTGTCTAGAGGATTCCTTTTCTAATTGATTTTCATGAAAATTGATTTGTATTGAGTAAGAGCATCTGAAACACACACACACACACACACACACACACACACACACAATTGCTTATGGAAGTACAGCCTGGCTGAATAAAGGACACTTAAAAGCCCGAGAGCTCTAGCTCCCACAATTCTTTCTTGCTCGGGGCAGAGGTGGTGTTCACACAGCAGAACTCTAGTCTTGGACAATGACCACATCATCACGTTGCCCTCCATCCTGGCTGAAAAAGTCTTACCAAGACAGAAAACTGTAAACAGATGAATACAGAGACTAAGTGAGCTTGATGGCTGAGGTTTAGCTAAAAGTTGGACAAGAGACGCTGGTCCCAAACCGCTGAAGTGTTTAGAAGTGACAAAATCCCAAGTCCCAAGGAGGCACGGCTGAGTTTAATAACTGCCGTTTCACACTCTAAACAAAGCTGTCAATTCCAGTAGGAAACAATTATGAGTGAGATCAGGCTGCCCAGAGAAGGAGCAGAAGACAGGCCTGGCACTGGGAAGGGGGAATGCCATAGTGCCTGGTCCCCTGTGGGAGCTACTCGGGACACCATCTGAGCAGGACAGACTAGCTGGTTCCCGACAAGGAAACCATTTGAGGGAACCACATTTGAGGGAACTCAGGAACCATGGCAGACTGGCAAGCCGGCTTGCCCCATCCCCTCCTTCTTTATAGACAGTCACCTTACTCAGGGCAGCCATCTGAAAGGTCCCAACCCCCCAAAACACCACTAGAAGAACATGAAGCTGGAGAACATGACCCTAGAGTAGGTCCTTCAATGCCCCAGACAGCAAAAAGCAGGCTGAACCTCAACAATTCAAAACTAGCTAACAGACTCTGTGGTGATGAACAGAGTACCCAGCAAGCCAGACAAGGAAGAGTGGCACTACCATTGATAAGCAATCATGACTATTCTGCAGATCGATAATGGTGGCAGCAGGGCCCGTGCAGTGTTTATCACAGCCCGCGCGCTGCAGTGAGTAACCTTAACTCGCTTGATCTCACCGAGGACTCACGGAAGCACCATCAGGAAGAAGAGACCAAGGCTCAGAGAGATGGAGTTGCCCGAAGTCCCCAAGTTGGGGAGGAGCAGGACAGGGGCTCAGAGCTCAGAGCAGACACACAAGTTTGCCTCTTGTCCTTTCCATTGTACCACTGACCCTGGATTTCTGGGAGGTTCTGGGGACTGTCATCTAACTCCGGTTGGTAAGTGTCTGGTCTCTGCTCTGAGGTCCGGACACTCAGGCTGAGGGAGTCCTCCTCAGGCAGCCCTGACAGACAGACAGATGCACAGATACATCTCCACGGTCACCACAGTCCCAGCTCTGTTGCCTACAAGAAATGCAGCCTTCTTCCCAGCCGAAGACCAGTTACAGGGGGCTAATCTGAAGTTTGAGTGGCTCTAGTAGGAAATAAAGAATGGGATCATTTCTCTCTTTAAGCGTATTTCTTTTCCCAAATTGCTACAATAGAAGGTGTCATTGAAAAGCATTCCCTGCTTCTATTCCAAGGCTCTGTCCTGCAGGCCTCAGGCCACAACTGAAACCTCTCTGTGTAGTTTCTTCTCTTTCCAGGGGACCCTAGCTGCTCTTATTTTCCGAAACTCTCTCCAGGACTAATCAGTGGGCAGCGGGACAGCCGCAGGAAGTCAGGGTCTCTGGGGAGTGAAGTGACACTTCCCCTCCCCCCACAGCCCGGGAGCCAGCAGGCGGCCCGCGTCTCCGCTCACCTGCACGAAGCCCCAGAGTGGGTGGAGCGCGCAGTGCAGCAGCAGCGAGGGCCAGCAGCAGCCACGGCGCAGCACCAGGTCCCGGAGGAGCATCTCGGCCTGCTGCACCCGCTGTGTGGCGAGCTGTCGGGGAGCAAGGCTTGGGTCAGGCGGGCACCATCTCGCCGCGCACCAGCGCACGTACTAGTCCGGGTCGGGCAGGCACGCCCCGCACTTTGGGGCACTCTCATAAACCAAGCCTGCACCTGCACCCCAAGCTTGCACACTCGCTGCCCCATCGTGCATTTCAGAACTCACACCTTATTCTGGGGCACACCCTGGAACCCTGAGTGTACACTTTAGTACCGTGCACACCCCTAGGCTAGAATACTGCGTGCACCTTCTGCCCTTATACACACCTCTATAAACAGCCAAACTTACTGAGCCTCACTCACCCCCTCCCCCCAGACAGCCATGCACAACTCATTCGCACTGTGAGCACACTTTAAACCTGGCGGGCACCACTCCTCCTGCGCGCACGCCCATAGAAACAGTCGTGCACATCCACTGCCCCCCCCCGTACACGCCCACCGACTCCTGCCTGCACACTCGCTGACCTCTCGTGCACAGCACCGCGAATCACACGCTGGGTGCACCCTCCCTGCCCTGCCGGCCTCTCTGCGCACACTGCAACATATGCACCTCCGTGCGCACCCCTGTCCGCCTCCCTCACCAGCCCTGATCTCTCGCTCCAGGACATGGGCCGCCACCCGAGCCCGCCATGCGTCCATATCCGCCCGCACCTCTCCAGTGCCTCACGCCACCTTCCCTGGCGGCGGCCCCTGCTGATCCCCAGCACCAGCAACGGAGGTCCGCGTTCCCCCCGCGGCAGCTCAGTTTCTGAGCCGCGGGACGGCCCGCCTTTAAAGCCAGCCGCCTCCCCAGTCCCCCGCCCTCTAGGCGGGGCCTCGGTCCTCACCCTGACTGCTGCGCGGGCGCCTGTAGGCTTCACATGCCGCGGAGGTGCGCCGGGAACTGGAGCAAAAGTTTGCGCGTCGGTTGGGCCTCAAGGGCGGCTGAGCCCGAGAGCCAGGCGCGGCTCACTCGCACCGGACGCTGGGCGCGGTGGCTCCCGGCTGCGCCTGGCCTCGCGCGGGGCGGGAGGGCGGCACCCTTCGCCCAGGGCCGGGTCGCTATGCCGAGGCAGAGGCGGAGGGCGGGGAAAGTCTGCTCCAAGGCGCCTGGAGCCGGCGCGCAAGCCCTCCCCGGGCCCTCGGCGGCGGCCCGGAGCGCCCGCCCGCGCAGCAGAGCCGCGGGCGGAGGCGAAATAAATAATGCACGAAAAAGGAAAACAGACGTGAGCCTCGCCAGAGCCTCGCCCGCCTCCTGCCCTGGGCTGCGCTCCCGCCCGCGCTCCCCGCCGCCGCCGCCAGCGCCGCTGCAGTGATTCCTCGTCTCCATCTAGCGAAGCTATTGTGAATTGGGCGTTTAATTATTTATTTATTCACCGGAGAGGCCGAGGACTCTCAGTTCCAGGGGGTTTTGCTCCTTGTCTGCCCTTATCCTAGGTTTCCCAAGAGGCTACGGGGAGGTAGGAAGGATTGTCTCCGGGAGATGCCCTTTTGGACTCCTCACCCTCCGCACTCCCCCACCCCGCTCCACTCCCAGGTTGCCTGGGCTAGAAGATGCAGGCCGCCCCTCCTAAGGCTAATGCCCTGTCCTCCCTGTGTAGCCCCAGTCCCCCGTCCTCTCCTCCTGAACAGGACTGCTCCTGGGACAGAGTTGCGACGGCTCTGGGAGAACCTTTGTACCACTGCGTTTCCCTCATCCCTCTGCAAACTCCTCTGTTTGAGGCAGGATTATCAACAAGTCGGTTCTTCGGGAAGTAGCCCGGTGTGATCTGCTTCAAACAAGCTGCTTCCATCCCCAGGGGCAGCGGCACAGGCGCGGTGTCTGCGGCTCATCTGGCGGAGGTGCTTTGTAAACACTGACAGATGCGGGGTGGGGGGCCTTCCGCAAAGTCCCTCAAGGCCCGAGCAGTGCTATTTTTAGGTTGGGTAATAGAACCAGGGGCTTAGGACACTGTACAGACAGTCAGACGTCGTAGTTCACTCATCAAAGAAACCGAGTGCCTTTTCTCAGTCTCTGTGGGCGCCCTAAGTCACCCCACTTAAACACACACTGTACAGCCAGGCCCCTCTGCAGACGTCTTTCAGACCAATCACCTCGCCACCTCCTTCATGTGCTAACTCAAGGCTTTTCTGTGTACACTCTGCCCATCTGCACCTTAACCAGCAAGATGCTGGGGAATGAACACACGAAGTTGGGTCTGATCAGAGGGACAGATAATGACATGGGCCAGTCCTCCGCCTGCTGGCTGTGCTGTGAGAAAGGGCCCTGCCCTGTAAAGGGAGGCCTCCAGGACCAAGGGACCTGCTGGGAGTACAGAAACCTTTCAGGCACTGGTAACCCTTTGGCAAAGATGTGGACACATTCATTCATTCATTCCATGGCAGTGGCTCTGAGCACCTACTGGGGCTCAGACAGGGCAGTGGGTGCTATGTATAGAACAGTGACCAGAGCAGGTAAGTCGCTGCCCTTAAAGGGCCCACTGCTGGGGAAGGAAGGCTGGGAAGATACTGATGGGGGAGGAGCTCCCTAAGTGATTTGCCAACAGTGTGCCAGAGTGCTGCTGTTGGTCAGCTGAGGTCAGACTCACAATGGATATTTTAACTTTTTTTTTTTTTTTTTGAGAAATTTTCGCTATAGGGTGCATGCGCTCGCCAGACAGACAGAGACATAGAGACAGAAAGCGAGAAATCACACCCCAGGGGGGATGGTCAAGCCACAATCCCTTCTCCTCCATTCTCCTCTCGGGATCCTGGGCACGCACGCACACGGGCCCAGCGTGAGTTTTAAGCCACCAGGTCTGGGATGCGAACCGCGGTCGACTACGCGGGAGTCCAGCGACATAGCCATTACGCTAACTGCTGGTTCCCCACAATGGATATTTTAATGCCTTTCCAGCTTAAGCAGATCAGACAATTTTGCTTAGTATATGACTTCAATCTTTAAATATGATACCAGTCCCTGCTGTTTATATATGGTGCTCTTTGCCACTTAAAAATAATCTTTAACACCAGCTGGGGTGGCATGTGCTGCTATGACACTGGGATCTGCAGGTCTGGACATGGTTGTGTTCCTGGTTCAACCCAAAGGCAGGGTGCACCTGTAATCCCAGCGACTCAGGAGGCTGAGGCGGGAGAATCACGAGTTCAAGCGTGGCCTGGGAAACATAGCGAGACCGTCTAAGAGAGCACTGCTATTTACATCACATTTTAATTGAATTCTCACAACTTCGCTAGGTAAATATAATCACCCCATAACAGCTCACCGGGGAATTAGAGATACTGACCCCTAACTACAGGTTGAAGACTTTGGGAGAGGTGGGCAGGTTTTGTATAATAGAAAGCCCCCAGTATCCATTCCGTCTTCTCTGTCTGTACTGAACCTAATCTGTGCACCTATTGAGAGTCACCTGACCCCAATCTTCCCGCCCTCCTAACACCGGGAACTGTCACAGCCTCCCTTAGAGTATCATAGGCCTCTTTTGCCATGGCCAGACGAGGGAAGGTCCAGGCTCCTCTTGCGTTTCTGGACTCAGATGGCAACCTGTACCTTGGCACATGCCTGGAGGTTCTAGGTAACTCTATTCAGAAATGCAGGGGAGATAAACCTTGGGGGAAATTTTGGCCAATGAACGATAAGAGGTGGAAGCCTCAGCAGATGGACTACAGTGGATTTGGATTTTCAGGAGTTGGCCCCAGGTGTGATGGAGCAACCGGCAATATTTCCTTCCAAACCTTGTATTTCCTTCCCTCTGTTCTCATTCAGTTCCCCTCTCTGCTTATTTTTGCTGCCCTAGGATTGTCCCCCTCGATGAAGCATCTACAAACAACAGTTGCTTTGTGCTCTGTCTCCTAAAGGACAGGAACAGTTGGTATCATTAGTGGTCCTAAAAGTAGACCTTCAGGATGGGACATTGGAGTTGGATTTCCATCTCCCCGTGAGCAGGAGGGGTCCCATCACTGAGGTAAGCATGGTAATCTGACGAGCGATGGCACTACAACGTGTGAAGCTTCATTTGTGGCTGAAGGGAATGAAGTGCAGGTAGAAAGCAGGGCTTTCTTTGGAAGATCAAGAAACCACTGTGCCTCATCAGTGTGGGGGGGAATGATAATCAAAAGATTGTAGAATTAGGTGGCTCTTTCTGACAGTGTTCTGGGTCTTACAGAAAGAAAATGACAGGCTCAGAGAAGCTCTTTGCCAGCTTAAGGCGTGCTTTGTGAAAGCTTCAAAGATACTCTTGACACAAACAAGACACACTAGACTGAAAACTAAGCTCAGGATCTGGTTGTAAGGGTGGCAGAGCTGAAAAGGACACTAATGTGTAGCCCCATGGGCATCGTATGTCCAGGTCAGGGCTCTGATAGGGAGAGAGTCGGACCTTGTGTTCTGGATGAGAGACTTTTGGGTAGACAAGCCTGAAACCTTGGACACCCCTCCCAAGTCCCCCTAAATCCTTGCATGTAGAGCAACTTTTTTCTCCCTTGTGAGACTAGAGCAGGTCCTTTTGGCCTGGGGACCACGATGACCTCATTGAAGCAGGTGCTGAGCACGATAAGGTGGTACTTATTCTCATGACAATAGCTTACAATAAATCTTTCAGGTGAGAAGTCAGAATTTTTCTTTTCTTTGCACAATGAGGAGAAAAAGACCAGAAGGCTCGGAAAGTTTCAAATACTGGAGTAAGATTGAGACCCTACCACCTGACTATATTCCCTAGGCAGTCCAGAGAACAATCCCTTCACCAGGGCAAAAAGAGAAGCCTGGGGAGGCGCGCCATCATCTTTGAGAAGTTCAGCGGTGGTGCTCTTCTAAGGCCGGGTTTAACGATGGGAGAGGATAGGGTAACTATCTCCTTTGTCTCCCTGGAGGTCATGGAACAGCAAAGGCCTGGTGGAATATTATGTCACAGAAGATGAAGGGGGCATGACTGCCGTAATGGGCAGCAAGGCTAAAGTGCCAGTCGGGGGGCCTCAAGTTGTAGGAATCTATGTCAACAGCTGACAGACCATGGTGTAGCGGGGTGAGCCAGAGGAGAGCTGACATGGCTGTTGCTTGACTCATATACATGTAAAAACAAAGCAAGAGGTAAGAGCAGAAAGAATCTGTCAGCTACTGCAATGGAAAGTTAGACAGTTTTGTTCATAGCTCGGATGCTTTTGATTGAAAGATCTCTGTGAGGACCAGCGGTTACATAGTTACATGGCTGGACTCCCACGTTCTCGAGTGTGGTTGGAGTCCCGGACTCGGTAGCTTAAAACTCATGCTGGGCGCATGTGCATGCATACCTAAAATCCCAAGAGGAGGATGGAAGAGAAGGGGTTGTGGTGCGGCCATCGCCCATGGGGATGATTTTTCACTTTCTGTTTCTCTGTCTCTGTCTCTCCAGCAAGCTCACACACACTATAGCAAAAATCTCTCTCTAAAAAAAGCGAAAGAAAGATCTCTTTGAAAAAGGACCATGCAACACCACTGCAGCATCAAGTCAGTCACGAGCAACAGCAGTTCGTATGAGAAGTAGATTGAACAGAAGTGGTACACTTCAGACCAGGCTTGAGCAGGCCCGGAAGGAACAGGTAAATGACCTAAACAGCTGGCTGAGATTCTCATGTCACCTGCCTGTGCTGAAGCTCTTCCTCAACATATACCTTTAGACTCAAATGGGATTTTATATGAGAAAGGGATGCGGGGCACATTCACATACAAGTCACCACACTGTGTTGCTGCTACCTGGAGATAGACTACCATTGTGTTACATTCTCATTCGAGGGCAGGAGGAGCAGTACCTCCTGAGTAAATGGCTGGGGCAGTCATTTCGGGATGTGGAGAGAACAAAACTGACAACTTAGGGCCACAGAGGTCAGGTAAACAGTGAGTGGATGAATTCTGGGTGTGGACCCAAAGGCTGTGGACCTTTCTGCCTTGGATTAGTGCTCATCAGAAAGCATTCATAGCCAAGGAGGCTGTCAGCCCTTCGTTGGTCAGGATGACCCAGCCTCTCTCTCTTTTCCCATTCTAGTTCTCGTCTGGGTGTTGCGATGTTGTTGGGCCATTAACTCAGCCATGACAACTTAGAGACAGAAACTTG